CAGCTGAAAACAACAATCTTCCACTGTTGTCTTGTTTATTGTTTGAAGGCCAGGCAGACCCTAATGCACAATCATTTTCTGGCTGCACCCCTTTGCACATTGCTGCAGGATTGAAATTTGAGACAATTGTAGCAACTCTTGTTGCAGTTGGGGCAAGTACAACAATAGAAAACGGTGAAGGAGATACCCCATTTGAAATAGCTAATGATGATGACATAGATGAGGATGATAACTGTATAGATGTGGATGATTAAATCTCTGAAGCTCCCAAGCCTAGTATCATGTATAGAAATGTTCAGAAAATTTTAATGGGATTGAGGGTAAGGTGAGCTCAGAAAGAAAAGAAGGGATAAAGGATAAAAAGGGTAAGGTGGGCTCAGAAAGAAAAGAAGGGATAAAGGATAAAAAGGGTAAGGTGAGCTCAGAAAGAAAAGAAGGGATAAAGGATAAAAAGGGTAAGGTGAGCTCAGAAAGAAAAGAAGGGATAAAGGATAAAAAGGGTAAGGTGAGCTCAGAAAGAAATAGTTTTACACTATGACAAAACATTTCTTATCGACTGATCGAGTGACTTTTAATTTGAACATAGCTAGCTTAGTACAACAAACCTATTTAAGAACATGTTATACCTGTAGTCTTGCCTGTATCACAATTTTTCAGCAATTTCTTCATATTAGGCTTTCCAACTTTACAGAGATTATCATATTTTTTGTTCGGTTTCCAAGCACGTTTAGTACTCACAACAAGATCATGATTGACATACTTCACGGCACCTTCACCAAGCTTTTTCTCAGGAATATTACTTGAAACTACATTCTTGGCGGCCACGTGATACAGAGATCGAACCTCTTCTGAATGGTTAAATACAGGCTTAATATCTTTATTCATTGGCTGGGACTTTTGCATTGCGTTATTACCATTGGGGCGGTCACTAATTTCTTCTTTTCTTGAAACATTCTTCAACATTTCCGTGGAACACAAGTTGAGTTCTTTCAAGAATAAATTCTTTAGTATCGGATCGTCCATATGGAACCTTTGCAATAAAGTTTTTTTCGACGTTTGTGACGTATTGTCAACAATCGAGGAGTATGAATCAAACTCTTCAAAACATTCCAAGTCATCAGGTCTGTGAAAATCACTAAACTTGATATGGTGTAAATTACGAACCACAAGCTCGAACGGTTTTGTCCTTCGATTGCTCGTCATTCCTAAAGGTATTTTCATCTGCCGGATCTTGTCTGAGTAGCGAGTTAAATTGGAAATTGCAACGTTTTCAATACAATTTTCTTTCGACGTAAGACACTTGCGACAGACACGCAACTTATGATAATTATCGTCGAAAGCTTGACGAATATAGGCTGGAGATGAAACTCGCGTCACACAGCGATAACTTTTAAAATGAAGTAAACCACAAACATCACACCTTGGCGAGATCTTTGACTGAACAATTACCTCATCTATAAAAATATCAGAGAGATCAATTATTTGCTATTCTGCAAGAATTGAAAAAAGAGAAATACGCCATTTTGAAGAGTATTAAGTGAAGATGTATTACCGTAACTGCGTAAAAGCACTATTGATATTGCGCATTTAATGTCCATTAATTTTTGGTTTGTCCTTTTGGCGTATGTAATTTCAAGTCTTATGATGAATGTTACTCCGTGATTGGTTGCTTTTGCTAGCCTTGGTTGCCAAAAACCAAGGCTAGCCTAAACTAGGTTTTGGTAGCCTTGGTTGCTTTTGTCTGCCATGTAATAGTTCGCATATACACGCTTCTCAAAGCCATCTACGAAAGTTTAGTTTTCTCTTACATTTCACGTTAAGAAAGAGCTGTTTTAGTTTCTATATAAATTCTATTTGTTTTTATTGTATTTTCAAAATAAATGGGAAATCTTAAAACAGAAAGAGAAAACGGCCTAGAATTTCTCCTAAGAATACGACGAAGAGATTAAAAGATGGCGCACCTCGTGATCAAACAGCTGGGCCTTCATCCGCAAAATTGGCACCGAGTGCAAAAATGTTCCTTTCTCGGGAATATTGACACTATAAGAGAAGGTACCATATTCATTGATTTAATAATCTTGTTTGGCGTCTTCGAAAACCTTCTGAAATGTCCTGACTGTGCTGATGATGTGAGGTGTCATGTTGACATGAGGAAGAAGCATGGCTTTGCTCATTACATTGTACTGCAATGTGTGGGATGCGATTGGAAGCATTGTTTTAATTCTTCAAAAGAAGGGCAATCACATGAAATTAATGTACGAGCAGTGCTAGCTTTTAGAAATTGGTAAAGGTCACACTGCTATGACGACATTTACTAAAGTTCTAAACATGCCTTCTCCACCAAGGCGTGACAACTTTAGCAAAATTCAAAACCAAAAACTTTTGCCAGTTGTGAAACAGTGTGCAATTGACAGCATGATGAATAATGCTATGCATGTTAAGGACTTGATTGTAAATGATGCTGGAAAATGTGGGATTTCCATTGATGGCACCTGGCATAAGCGAGGATACTCTTCACACAATGGTGTTGTCACGGTAATTTCCCTTGATACCAAGAAGTGCCTTGACGTAGAAGTGCTTTCTGACAAGTGTCAGCAGTGTATCAAGTGGAGGAAGAAACAAAGTTTCCTTCCTAAAGATATTTGAATATTTGGACATAACACCAGGTTTCTTCACTTGCCAAGGTGTGCACATTTGTGACCAAGCTCGAATAAAGCTTTCAGCAAAAAAGAGCACTGAGAAGGTGAAGGGACAAAGAAAATCCCTAAGATATTATAGAAAAAAGTATTTAGACAAGGCTGAGGACAATGAAGGAGTTACATATGAGTCAGGTAGCTTTTAAACCCTGTATAATGATATGAAAACTTTACTATAACTTTAACTTGACTTTTATCCACTTCGTTATTTTTTGTGTGTGACCAATACTTGTGACACTGTAATTTTTTAAATATTTATTGTAGAAGCTTGGTATTTTGTATATTTATTTAGTACAATATAATCTAGAAACTGACATTTTCAAATTTTAAAATTTTCCTCATAGATGAATTATTTCTGCACTTTTTTCCACTTTTATCGGCTGTTAAATTTTTATAAAAAAAATTTGAAGAAAATTGAAAAATGTCATTCTCTAGCTGAGATTATTGGCTTTTCAAAAATGTATTATTTGTTTCATTGTGATGACTTGTTCTTGAGATATCGTGTTAATGCTGTTAATTAATTATGGGCTAAGTAATGGCCGCCATAATGGATAATTAGTGTAATTAGCAACTTCCTGAATTTTTTTTGTGCACATCATTTTCTATCACCTTACTCATTCAGAAAATGTTATTTTCACTTTAAAATGTTTAAAAATAAAAAGTTGCTATAGAGGGGTGACCACCTTAATAAAACGACAAGTTTATTTTGATTTTAAAAGGTGTCGAAAGATATGTGAGTTTTGTCAGTGGTGGTATGAAGATGTATTTGCTATAAAATAAAGTAATCGACCCTTGGGTACCTTGGTTTCAAATATATAATATATAATAATATCTTTGTTGGAGTGCAGATGCAAGGTTAATATAAAATATGTACTAAAACGGGTGAAATGGGTATACATTAACATTACCAGCACTGCTATCCTTACCATTTAAATTTTCTTCCTCACTCAAACTTTCAACTGATTTAATACCGTCTGAAGAATCTTCTTCAAAATAACTACATTACAAAGATAAAAATATTTGAAAAGATGAAATGACATAACCTTGTTTTTCAATAACAACAACAATTTAACTTGTAGCATTAATGTAACATTGTAGCATTAATTGTAACATTTTTCAGTTGGAGCACATTTCTTTCCATACTTTTTGTGTTAATGATTTACTTATTTTATACAATAAAGAAAAACATGTTTTTTAAAGGCATATGCTATTGAGGCATATGCTTTTTTAATGCATGTTTTTTTAAGGCATATGCTTTTAAGCCTTGCTCAAAACTTGGCTGCGAAAATTGTTTGTACTCGTTATACAGTATTGACGACACGCTGTCCTCGATATTTTGCAATTTTCGGTACCGCATTTTGCAAGACAAAATTCGTAAAACCTTTCAGCTTGCAAGCCTCGTTGCTTCTTTATATTTCATTTCCCTCAACAGCACACTCCTTATGTTATAGATTTTGAAATTACAGAACGAATAAATTTTGAGTAGCGCAGTTAGCTAGATTATTTTTAAAAAAATAAAAGCTTACGCTGACGTGACCTAAGAACGTAGGCTACCCAAGCGATTCTCCCTATAAAAATATATTTTAATTTTTGTTAGGAAAAAAAAAACACAATTGTGATAATATTATATTGTTATATAATTTCACAGCTCACAATTCCGTCTTCCAACGTATCATAAATACTCATCGCAAGCAGGTAAGTGAATGTTTTATTCTTTATTTTTAATGGAGTCTAAGTGATGTTGCCTTTTCCAGTTGCCGGAATAATCTTTTAAAATGTATGAAATCTTTTGTCTCTTCACAGTTTGGAATGGCTATGAGTTTTAACACCTTCGGTCAACTTATAAGTAGAAATGAAGATGATGGGACCGAGCATGCATCACAACCAAAACGTGTCCGTTTGTCGACTGAAAGTCTTTCAACAGCTAACAGACATGCCACAAGTAGCACTGGAACACTAAATGATGCTTGTGATGAGTTGACACACGTTGCTGAGAAAACGAATCTCTCAGCTACAAGCAGCTACGACCTTGTTATAGACTAGTTGTGACCTCGTCAGTCGTCATCAAAGCTTAAGTGATATTTGACATAAAGGAAGCTCAATTTCTGTTTGGTTGTTCACAGCTTGGCAAAGAACATTGTAACAAGTCGAATTCCAAAGTCGAATTCCATTACCATCTGTAGATCTAATTTCAATATATATACTTATTCATATAGAACTGATATCCAATGCCTGAACACTAAATTCAAATTTCTTTCAAGCATTTCATCAAATTTTCTCAAATTCTTGTATAATTCATAAAACATCTAATTATACCTAATGTGAAAATTTTTGTAAAATAAAGACGTCCTTCGATGTGAACTGATATCCTTATACTATATTATATACTATATATAGTATACATACGTATAGATAGCCAATGCCTAAATAGAATCTTAAGTTCTTTGAAGCATTTCATCAAATTTTCTCAAATTCTTATATAATTCATAAAACTTCTAATTATGCCTAATGTGAAAATTTTATGTAAAATAAAGACGTCCTTCGATGTGAACTGATATCTTTATACTATACGTTATACTATATATATAGTGTATACATAAACAATTTTTTGCGCATTGATGTAACCTTTTAAAATGAGCACTACAGGAATCGAACCCACATACTAGAAACAGCTAGCAAACCATTATGCTCGTTTAAAGGACAACAACAAACTTTTTCTGTTTTTCCATCAAATTTTATCACGTTATTGATTGTTCTTAGTCTCCTTGATTGATCACAAACGCAAACTACTGCAAAATACAAATAGCTGATATTAATGTTCGAGGCATATAAGAATATTATCCCAATTTTAACGCAACCTGGGCACATTCACTTCTTCATTCAGGCCATGCAGTAAAACTCATTTTAAATGACAACTTTTCCCAGAACTGTTTCACCCCCCGAATGATAGGTCCCAAAGAAATTATGGATTTATCCACACTTGTTTTGAAAGGGATACGTTGCTCTAGTTTGGGTGAGATGTCAGTGAGCACTTGTTGCTGTAGAATGTCAAGTTTTTCTGTTGAATTCTGTTACCTTTTCATGGTGATTGGGAGAATACTGGAAGAGTGCTCCATCAAACACTCAACGATATTAGTAGAACATCTAAAACATTCAGATGCATTAGACGATAAACGTTCGACACAAAGAATAGCACAATTCGTTGCACGTTTGGCTCTGGTTCGTCCAGACCATTTGTTGTTTGTTACAACTTATCAGTTTTCTGCGTTTTTTTGCCATGCTCATTTTCTAACGGCTTATTACGATTCCTGGACTAATCGCAATAAAACGTGTATGTACGCGTTAATGAACAAAAATACAAAATTGAGTCAACTAAATGCAGTAAATTCTTTCTGAACCGTATTGAACATACTTGTAACTTATTTACGGCACTCTAAGGAAACAGTGTGTTTTGTGGTTGAGAAACGCTGATGCATATTGCTCAGGAAAAGCTAAGGCAACAACAGCCAATGGTTTTGAGGCGAAAACGTAAGAGCACACAGGATTTTACCGTTAAAAGAATCATTAAATTAGTTAGTGCTGCATTCAATGTAGTAATCAGAAATTTTATCTACCACAAATGTCACTAAATCAACGTCAGTTTTGCAAGCAAATCTTCACACTTGGCTTGGACAAATAACTGGAAACAGTGGCGGATCCAGTGTACCTCAAAATAAATTATAGCTCCTCAATTTGATATTCAAATTACATTCAGAAAAAACTATTGGTTTTGAATTTCTAAAGAATATAATTTTGCCAATGAATTTGCCTCTAAGATATATTGGATAAATGAACTTAACGTTGCGGTTTAACGATAAAGTGGTCTATTAGCTGCTTTCGTTGAAAAGAACAGTTTCTCTCACTTCTTTCCACATATCACGTTGACACGTCATGGAAGTGCCAAATATTTTGTATTACTTTATCTCAAAATTTCTTTTAAATAAGATTCAGTATGTACTAGTACGAAACCCTATGTAATGTACTTTTTAAAGTTATGGAACAATTATCTTTATAATATTGCCTTATGTTTTCTAACTTGCAGTACATCACATTGTATTTTTATCTCAATTTCAAAAAGTTGCCCGACTAGACGAACGACGGATGTCACTCCCCTGCCATACCCCCTCCCCCTTCCCAAGAAGTTTCAACCGTGTAGGACGATTAGATTACAAAATTGTATCTTTGAGTTGTTATATCATTGAAATTATAAGATAATATCTACAGAAACAGGCATGCACATGCAGCCAACAACTTCAACAGTTTTTAGAGGACACTAAAAGGTTATGCACCAGAGTTTATGAGTTTTAGAGGTTATGCACCCTCTCCGACAACACAGACATGAGACAATAAGGCCTGTCTTATACTTCACATTTTACATGAGTCAAATGCATTCAAAACAAAAGATAATGAGGAATTTCATCTCATTTTCTTTTATCTTTAATGCATTTGACGCATGTAAAATACAGTCATGAAACAATAAAGTCATTAAACAATACATTCATTGAACAATATAGTCATTAAACAATACAGTCATTAAACAATACAGTAACTAAACAATACAGTCATTGAACAATATAGTCATTGAACAATACAGTCATTAAACAATACAGTCATTAAACAATACAGTCATTGAACAATACAGTCATTGAACAATACAGTCATTAAACAATACAGTCATTGAACAATACAGTCATTGAACAATACAGTCATTAAACAATACAGTCATTAAACAATACAGTCATTAAACAATACAGTCATTAAACAATACAGTCATTGAACAATACAGTCATTGAACAATACAGTCATTGAACAATACAGTCATTGAACAATACAGTCATTGAACAATACAGTCATTGAACAATACAGTCATTAAACAATACAGTCATGAAACAATACAGTCATTGAACAATACAGTCATTGAACAATACAGTCATTAAACAATACAGTCATGAAACAATACAGTCGTTAAACAACACAGTTATTGAACAATACAGTCATTAGACAATGCAGTCATTTAAAATGCAGTCATTAGACTATGTAATCATTAGACAATACGATCATCAAACAATAAAGTCATAAAAATCATCAGAAAATGTCATCAGACAATAAAATCATAAAACAATACAATCATCAGAAAATATAGTAATCAGACAATAATGTAATGAAACATAATAATCATAAGACAATGAGGTCATCGAACATCACAGTTAACAAACAACATAATCAAGAGACAACCGTACCCATACTTCAGAGAACACAGACAGTTATTAGACCACAAATCTAATAGAGACACAAACATACAAACTAGAAAGTTATCTGATTAGAAATACCATAAAAAACAAGGCGACTAGAAATGTAATTTAAGAAACAAAAGATTTAATCACTTTGGAGCCAAAACATAAACAAAGTTTGTCCATCTACTGCTGCAGCAACTAGTTTGAGTAAATTTCGTGAGTTGATAAGATAAAATACAAAGCATTAATAGTTATAGTACCTTCTTCATTACATCGAGATGGGACTGCTTTTATCGATAGAGTACAATCTTTTTTCCATTAAAGACCAAAGCCTGTCTCACTTGCCGCCTTTAGTGAGGCTGTATTCATAGAAAGTAAAACCCACTGTTGACCACCAACCACGTCGTGTATTTGCTCTTTATCGTCATGTATTTGCGCTTTAGCGTCGTGTATTTGCTCTTATGGATTGTGCAATATATATCCATACATGGAATACGTACTGTGTGTTCATATGGCTTTTTGGCGTAAGCAATTGATAAGGACTTGTAGTTCGTATTCCATGTATAAGCCACAAAAGTTTTAGTCAAGCAAATTAGTCATTCCCAATCGAAATCATTCGATAAATAGTGGCTTATTTTTAAATTAATTATGTTCCCATGATTCGGGTTATGATCAATATTCCACTCAAATCGAGCAAAATTCAAAAGCTGGTTTTCTTTCCATAGGGGCTTTCCCATTTTAATGTGGGAAACTCCCACTGTTTGGATTTCCGTTGCTTACAAGTTTCTATTATTTTGAATTCAAACAGTATATTTGCTTCGTTAGAAATTTCCGCTTTATTGCATTTTGCTGTCGCTGCTTCGCGTTAACTCTCGACGTTCGAAATTTCAACATTTTTAACACGGTATGTTCATATTTGTTTATGATCAGTAATCTAGATGTATGTTCATATTTGTTTATGATCAGTAATCTAGATGTAATGAGTTTTCTTTCCATCGGGGCTTTCCCATTTTAATGTGGGAAACTCCCACTGTTTGGATTTCCGTTGCTTACAAGTTTCTATTATTTTGAATTCAAACAGTATATTTGCTTCGTTAGAAATTTCCGCTTCATTGCATTTTGCTGTCGCTGCTTCGCGTTAACTCTCGACGTTCGAAATTTCAACATTTTTAACACGGTATGTTCATATTTGTTTATGATCAGTAATCTAGATGTATGTTCATATTTGTTTATGATCAGTAATCTAGATGTAATGAGTTTTTCGTACCAAATTCATTGTGTATTTGTTAAACTTGTAATGATTGTCCAAACTGTCTTTGCTAGAAGCTAAGAGAGATCAGTTAGTATTAAAAGATAAATTTCTAATTCAAATGAACGTAGAACTTGAATCAAAACGAAAGTGAAAGCTTTTGAACTCATTTTATGAAAGGTCTTAGTTATTTGTAGAGCTTCTTCCTAGGCGTAGCACAGCTTCTTTTATATTGTACAAGTGTAAGACATTGAAACAGCTCATTGCGGTCATTCATTTTCATACATTCAAATTTTGTTCTGAAAAGTTCCAAGATTCATATTTGAAGAAATTAGTGACAATCGAGAAAACGTGTGAAACATGACATTCAACGACGTATTGTGGTCTGCGTCTGCCTGGTCATCGTTGAAAGAGAAATGTGGCCATCTTTCCAAATTAGAAATGTCTAAAGAGATTCTAACATTTGGTGAAAATCAAAATGATCAAAATGAAACTGGGAAGAAAGGTGTCATGAAATTCAATGACGACAAAATACTAGGTCCTGATGAACGGGAAAAATTCATAAATATATGAATGGGCGGAAAGCGACTCAATCCTTTTTTGCTCATGAAAGTGCTTCTAAGCCATTGTCATTAAATCCTGCGTTTTCGAAGGAAGTTGATCATGGTCGTAATGTCACTAATGTGTCTTCCAATGGTGCCGATATTTGTTCTTCTTCTACTAAATCTTTTTTTATTTCCGAATGTGCTCTCATCGTTTCAATCATGAAAGAAATAGCTGAAGGATTGCTTGTTTCGGTGGATTTAGTTGAGAAATTTGTGAAAAATCCAAATGACAAATCAGCGAAAGACATTTCAACCTTGTTTGCCAAAATTTCAGACGAGAATGTCGATGTCAATACCGAAATTAGAAACTCGTCCAACAGAAAATCTTCACAAAACAGAAAATTTGAAAAAGACGATGACGTCACTGGTTTGCTTACAAGCGGCAGTGAAGCTAATGAAACGCTCGAAGCACGTTTAGATCGTCTTAATTCTGAAAACAATCGTTTGAATCATAAAATTTCAGAGTTAGAAGAACGACATAACGCTATTATGATCGAACTTTTTCTTGCAACCGAAAAAGTTAAAGAGTGTCAGCATGTTTTCATTGATAATCCTGGTATTATAAATGATGGGAAGTGGCTTGGCTACCCAAATTATAAGAACTGTAAATATGCAACTAACTGCAGCAATGAAGACTTAAAAGACGTTCCTAAAGTTGTAATTTCGACAAATGATATGAATGAATATTTTCATGAAAATCAAAAACTGAACTACAATAAAAAAAAATCTGAGGAAAAACGTCCTGAAGAAGTAAAAAGCCTTGTAATAAGTGATAAAAGAAAAAGAAATGTTGAAATGAAACCTGAAGGAAACATTGAAAATGACACAATGAATGATGAAGGAATGAAAAATAATGAAGATCGTCAAGAAAGAAATGATAATGAAGAAATGATGACATCTTCAGACATGTCACAATTTAATGAAGAAGATGCATTACCTTTCTCAGTTCAACAAGATGAGAGCAATAATTATGAAAATATATCATTAAAAAGTGCGCCACCAATCTCAGTTGCTTCTTCTTTATTTGTTAATTACAAAATGATGTTGCTCACAATCCCTGAAAGATTATTGTCTTCTGATGTGACAGCAATGAAAGAATGGGCACGTCGACAATTCTCAATTGAGCATGCTCAAGATGCAACAGAAATCTTACGTGAACTTGATCGTCGTTTGATCATTAGTGCTTCAAATTTAAGTGTTCTTCACTCGTTTTTTGAATCCATCATCAGATTTGACCTCATCTACATTATTGACGGCTATCTGACCGGAGATTACAGTGTTTTCAAAAAACGCTCAGCAAATGAAAAACCTCGACGAGAAAATCATGGAACAAGATCAAGTTATAAATCTTTATTAATGTCAACAAATGATCGTCTTTCGTTGCAATATTCCTCAACTGCAAGCAAACCCATACGCAAAAGAAACAACGATGTTAGCTCTCATAGATCCATTCAGCGACCTTCTAATCCTTTGTCGCCTGTAAACATCAATGTTTCCAACCCTGTTCCTAAACATCCCCATGAAAATCAATCAGAAGATTTTTTAACTCAGAAACCGAAATCATCAATTGCAACAAACACAATCGTGTCTGAAGCCCATGTAATGAGTAAGTTTAAAATAATTTTTATTTCTTTTATTTTGTTACTCTTACAACTTGAAATGTACTATCCTAGAATATTTGATGCACAACATGGTATATTTTAAGTAAATAATTCTTATCACAGCAGCTATAAAAATTTAAGAGACTGCAGTTGTTGATACGTTGTCGTAAACCTCACATTACACTAGTAGTACTTAAAGTAATCATTCTAGCGTTATTTTCATATATCCCATGAAACACCACGCCCGATGTCATCGACATTGTCACGATATGGGTTCATGTTGCTACTCTCAACTGTGAAGGCACCAAAGAATATGGTATGGTTATGACTACGGTGTATGGTGAAGTGCTTTTCGGTGTTGAGAATAGAATTGTAATGTCGCCCAAAAAGAAAAATGTGTATTTATGAGCAGTTCTTGACAGTGCCTCCAATTTTCTCCTAAAATGTTAAAGTACTCAACAACGTCAACACTATGTTTTTAGCTCTCGATGGCTGTGATCATTTGGTCAATATATCTTGATCATTAAACTGAATATATCTTGAAACGTTGTTCCTACGGGAAAGTTGAATGTTGCAATTTCTACCTTTTTTTTTGTTTTTTCATTTCTTTTTTCCCCATAGTGCATGTGAAAAGCATACGATATAGACGCCGAAGAAATAGGGCGACAAACACACGAAAAAATTTCCACCCAAAAATCGCAACAACGCAATGAAATACAATTAATACATTTTAAAAAACAAAATAATATCCCTAACCATGATATCCTTCTCTTCTGAGTTTTGTTTTAGTTATATTCATTTCAATGATTTTGAATGTGAGAAGAAACTTTGAGAAAAAATGTTTGAAAACAATGTAGTTCATTGATTTTATTTTCCTAAGTTACTAATGCAAAATTTTGTGTATAATTAACTTTCAACAGATACGTCATTCAACAATGCAAGCAATCCTTTGCGATCCTCTGGTCTCCCAAAAGGTATTCAATTTCCAGGCAGTAATGGTAAGAAACACTCAAAGTTCAATAATAATTCCCAGAACTCTGAAGTGGTGTTCACGTCTCGGGAAGGTAACTGGTTATGTAGTCACTATAAAGACATTGTTTTGTTAAATTTGATTGTTGTGAGCAGTTTTATCCCTGTCATCGTTGTCATAACAATCAAAGTGCGTGTGGCAACAAGAAGCTTAAATCACGTGATGTAAAAAAAGTCAAATGTGCTTATTGTAGCAACGAACAAGAGGTAATATATTTTCATGCTGTAAAATAACACAAAACTACTCTAAACATACGAGAATAGTTAAATGAAATTTGTTTGTTATGGTCGTAAAAACATTTCATTTGAATTTTCCTATTCTCATTTGAAATTCGCTAGTTTGGTGAAAAGTGCACGAATTGTGGTGTTAAATTTGCCGAATATTTCTGCGCTATATGTAAACACCTTACTGACAAAGACGACCATCCTTATCATTGCGAGAAATGTGGAATTTGCAGGTACTCAAATGTACCCAAATATAAACACGTTCTCCAATTATAACTGATTGATCTCATTTGTTAGATAATCATAAATATTAAGCACTAAACTGATTTTTGACACGTTTGTATTTCATTAGAGTTCACGGAGATCGTTCTTTTCATTGCGATGTTTGTGGTGTGTGTCTTGATGTACAACTGCGTGGTAATCATAAATGTAGAGAAAACTCCGCACATGATGAATGTTGTATATGTTTAGAGGTAAACATTTACTTTAATTTTCCTGCTGATTTATTTAGGCACAATGAATAAAATAAAACAAATAATTCTTGACTTTTCTGTGTTATATACACGAGTTGCTGTTATGTGTGTATGGCACTTTCACCGTTGTTAAGTAAATTTTATCGACCTTTAAATGATATATCTCTCTTCAAGTCAACCGTCACCATAGTGGATACCTTTTTTTGGACACATGTTTTTTTTACCATCAACTTTTTTACTTTCGCACTATCATTATTCAATAATTCTTTTCACAAAACTAAACCTTCTTCTGCTTACGATACAATCAATCTCATTTTATCTCTACCCCGTTACAAATGGTAAATATTCATTATAGTTGCTGCTCGTGTTTCATTTTGTAATGTTTAGTCAAATTCATATCCAAATCTTTAAAATATTTTCAATATTTTATTGTAGGATGCTTTCACAGGTTGTCAAATATTACCATGTTCTCATAAAGTTCATAAAGAATGCGCCAATGAAATGATTCGAAGAGGAATGTAAGTTGAACGAAAATCCAAAAATGAATCCAACTTTATGTATTACTGACGTTATAGCCAACGTCATCTATGTGTTACTGACGTTATAGCCAACGTCATCTATGTATTACTGACGTTATACCCAACGTCATCTATGTATTACTGACGTTAAACCAAACGTCATTTATGTGCTACTGACGTTATACCAAACGTCATCTCCTGACATTGTCTAACAGTCAATTCTATGATTATTAGAAATATTTTTTTCTGTCCTTTAGAACACGCTGTCCCATTTGTCGTGAAAGTTTTGCTCATAAACTTGAAAAGAAAACTCCATCGAAGAGACGTCATGGTGGAAGACATAAATGACAAGCAGCCATTATATAGATTTACATTTTGTCCTTCGATTGGCTGCTTTTAATTTGATTATAGAAAACGATGATTTGTGTTTTTATGATTTTGTTAAATTCCTCTGGAGATGTGTACATTATTTTGAACAAATTGATATATTTTGTTTCACGTTTAAAATTGTGAAATTTTTCTTTTAGAATCACATCAGGTACACGTGCCAAAATTTATATAAAGTTCAGTTTTATCTTAATCTATTATGTAACTTCTAAAAGCTCCAGTTTTCATATTAGTGAAATAGTTAGTCATTGCACACCTTTTAATTTGTGCGTAAAGATAATTTCCGTTTCTTATTTCATTTCTTCATATTATATAATAAATGATATAGTTAAAGTAAATGGTTTGAACCCGGAGTATCGTTATATGTTTGTAAATGATGATCGTCCAGGTTAATAAAGTCCTGAGAAGGACTGTTTTTGTTGTTGTTGACTGACGTTTCGACAACCTTAGCGGTAGTCATCTTCAGAGTCAAATGAGGAGTAAACGTCAGGTTAGCCATATTTGTTATATGGTTCTTACGTCATTGTATTGTGTGTACAGGAAATGTGTATTGTCATTGTGGATTAGTGTGAAGTGAAATATTTTATTTTTAGTTGTGATGTGTGATTTAGGTGTGACGTTTTTAGTTGTAATGTGTGGGTGTCAATTGTTTATTGTCATTGTGAATTAGTTTGAAGTGTAATGTTTTTAGTTGATCGTTTGTTTGTATTATGAATAAGTCGTTTGTAAGGTGCCAGTAATTGCTGTCATCTGTTCAGGGGGGTTTGTTCCAAGTTGGTATACCAACTTTCTAATGTAAGCCGTTGTCTATAGACTATAGTCAGTACTTGCATTTTGCCGAGTCCCAGTCAATGTTGTGCTTTGTGATTCGGTGATGTTCGGCAATGTGATTAGTTTTGTCTTGTTTCTTAGTAGCTCGTTTGTGCTCAGTAAGTCTTATGTTTAAGTTCCTGCCAGTTTCCCCGATATAGGAGGCGTGGCAGTCGGAGCAGTTTATTTTGTAAACTGCACCTTGTCGTTCGTTGGGTTGTTCTTCGTCCTTTATGTTCGTTAGTACTTGTCGTAACGTTGTGATTGGTTTATGTGCAACACGTATGTTGTATGGTCGTAAGATACGCGAGATAGTCTCAGACGTACCTTTGATGTAAGGTATCGTTGCTGTTGTCACTGAGTTATTCGTTTCGTTGGGTTCGTTGGGTTTGTAAGTGTTGCGTTTGATAAAGTCAGAGTTATAGTTGTTTTTGTCAAAAACACGTTTGAGATAGTTGTTTTCGTTTTGTAGTGCGTCCGGTGAATCACATATGATTTATGCACGTCTTGTTAATCACACCTAAATCACACATCACAACTAAAAATAAAATATTTTACTTCACACTAATCCACAATGACAATACACATTTCCTGTACACACAATACAATGACGTAAGAACCAGATAACAAATACTGCTAACCTGACGTTTACTTCTCATTTGACTCTGAAGATGACTACCGCTAAGGTTGTCGAAACGTCAGTCAACAACAACAAAAACAGTCCTCCTCAGGACTTTATTAACCTGGACGATCATCATTTACAAACATATAACGATACTCCCGGTTTCAAACCACTTACTTTATTACGATAATTTGGACGACAGAGCGAACAACTTGCTAACGACTACATACGTTTTGCAAGCAACGTCAGACGCATACGCCAACAACTCTGGTTCAACCACCGCTGCAAGGATTTTAGTCTCGTTCCGGCAGGACTTAGAATTAAGTCCCCGTTGAACACACAAAGACTGAGTGCCTCTACCAGCCAGTAAAGCTTCTACTCCTCCCCAAAACCCTGTGCAATCACCATTGACGGACAGCCTCTTGTCCAGACCACAGACTTCAACTACCTGGGTAGTACAATCTCCAGCAATGCTAAGATTGAAAGGAGCTGAGGAACAGAATGGGAAGGGCGAGTGCAGCGTTCAGTCAACTAAACGATCGGCTATGGCAAAATAAGCATGTCTCGACCAGAGTTAAAGCCAAGGTCTATCAGGCGGTGGTGCTGACAACACTCCTTTATGGAGCAGAGGCATGGACAATCTACAGGCTTCAAGTGAAGAAACTGAGTGCGTATATGATGAGACAACTGCGGGACATTCTGAAGATATCATGGCGGGACAAGATCGCAAATGCTAAGATTCTCCGTCTGACTGACCTGCCACACATGGCTGACATGCTGATTCAAAAGAATTTAAGATGGATTGGTCATGTCCATCGTATGGAGAGATCTCGTTTACCACGCCAGCTATTGTACAGCCAACTAGTAGAAGGGAAACGAAACCAAGGCCGACCTCGACTCAGACTCAAAGATGTCATGAAACGAAATCTAAAGAGGAGAGACGTCAACGTGACAACCTGGAAGCAATTGGCTGATAACAGACCGGCCTGGAGAGCTTCAATCCAACCATAGAACAGTCCTCGTCGCTTACGACTGACTGCATGATGATGATGATGATGATGAACACACAAGAGGCTATTCAGATTGTCAAATCCACCAGCAGACGACTGATACGATCGCGGATTAACGACTGTCACAGACGAATCAACTATTACATCAAACAACAAGAACAAAGACTGAACAAACTGAACAAAATGGCGGATTTCGTCCGTTGCCGCTGAGATTTACCGAAATTGATCGCTTTTCCGAAAATTTCACAATTTCCCACTCCCTCCTGAGGAAAGAGTGAGGAAAATGTATGTGTGTATTTGGGATTCGGCAAGCAATTTTTTGATGAAAATCAAGGTAAAAAACCTTAAATTCATAACAGCGAGTCAACTGTGGTTGTCAGTTATGTGCTCCTACGAGGATGCATTTATAACTATCGAGTGTTGAACGTTCTAAACGAGGAGGCAAAAGGTCATGAAGCTTATGTGAGGAATCTGCTACTATCTTCTGAAACAACGCTGTTGTTATATCATTCCTCCTTTCGCTAAGGCGTTGCAAATTAGTAAACTGCAGAGCGTTTTCATATTCTTGATGAGGCAGGATTATTTTTAATGCTCGCTTTTGGACTGACTCTAGGTCATCTGACAGATACAATGTCAGACTATTGTGGAACACTGGGCAAGCATACTCAAGACAGGTCTTATACACGTTTTGTAAAATTGGAGCAATTCCTTGACTTCGATATTTGCTCGTTTTAGTTGAATAAGATAATAGAGGCGTTTACGGCATTTCTTAATTATTTCATTTACGTGGATGTTCCACTTAAGGTTACTGGCTATAACCAATCCCAAAACTTTCGCGTGTTGGACAATATCCAGTGTAATGTTATTGATGGTAATTGGTTGAAGGTCATTGGTATTAGATCCAAAACAAATTCGCATCTCTTTACATTTGGTTTCATTTAACTGGAACTTATCACGCGAGATGCTGTTCGCTAATGTGTCCATTTGGTTTTGTAAGTTACTTGTTTGATCTTTCTCAATTACTTCACTAACAGTGGTATCGTCCACGAATTTCCACATTTCATTATTTGGTAACTTGAGATCGTTAATCATTATCAAAAATAGCCAAGGCCCCAATTTTGTGCCCTGCGGAACGCCTGCAGGTACGAGTTTCCACTCTGAAAAGCAATCGAATTTCAGCTTTACTCTTTGTTTCCTGAGGGAGAGGAAATCCATAATCCAGTGTAGAACCCATTTCGGTATATGAAATGAACGTAGTTTTTCAACCAATAAGTTATGATCAATCAGATCGAAAGCTTTCTTGAAATCCAATAACAGCACACGAACGGCCGCCCCGTTACCATCAGTTGCTTTATTCCACGATTGTAACATACTAAGTAAAGCTATAGTTGTGCTTGAATTTGGGATTGCCCCATACTGATTAGAGTCTATCTTCTTAAGTACAGCTGGCTTGACATAATTTTCCACAACAAACTCCTCGGCTACTTTTGATAAAATCGCAGTAAGTGATATAGGCCTTAAGTGTTTATTAATATCTCGTACAGGTTTCTGCTTTGGAATTGGTGTAATATTTGCTTTTTTCCATGATTCTGGTAACCGGGCCTCTTTAAAGGAGCTGTTTATAATATCTGCCACGGGAGCGGCCAATAAATCAGCATTCTCTTTTAGAACCCAGGCGGGAATACCGTCTGGGCCAGTTGCTTTCCTTGCGTTAAGGTTGACATCATATCTCAATCATATCATCATATCATCAGGTTCACCAATCATATCATCATATCATCAGGTTCATATCATCAGGTTGCAAACCTGATGATCATCATATCATCAGGTTTGCAAGGTTGACATCATATCTTCCTGTGAAGAAACAGACGGTGAAATACCACTTAACTTTTTGATTTCCTTCCACCAACTTGCAGATGAACACGATTTTAAATGCTCTACTTTGTTTTGGTAAAAACGTTTCCGACAAGATTTTCTTTCTCGGTTTACTTGGTTTCTTAATTTCTTGAAAGAGTCAAGGTCTTTTTGTGCAAAAGCTTTTTCCCTTCGGCGGATCAGTTGTTTTAGCGATTTGGTCATCCAAGGAGGCTCATTAGTGATCAGCACCTTCTTGTTTGTGGGGAGTAGGAAATCAAGACCAAAGTTAATGATGAGCTCTAACATTTTCATTTTGTC